TAATCAAGTATAGATTTCATTGTTTTGTCGACTGCTTCGAAACAGTACCTGTTCATCATCGGTGCCTCGTCCCATATGATTAGCTTTGCGGTAGACAACAATTCTACCTGTGGGCTCTGTTGTTTGATGTTGCATGTGGAGTTGTCATGTACAATTATTGGCAGTCCAAATCTCGAATGAGCAGTTCTGCCACCTGGAAGTAGAAGCGAAGCAAAACCACTGGAAGCAACATTTATAACTATTTCGTCTTTTGAACGGATAACAGCCGATAAAGTTTTCCATACGAAAGTCTTTCGTGTTCCTTTATGCCCATAAAGAAAGAACAGTCCACCTATGTCTTTTGTAACAGCATCCATGATATAATCGAACACTTTTTAATAAATAGTTTCCTCCATTGAGTTCTAACAAATATTTGATAAAAAATTTCTCCAAATAATAAAATGAATGGTTGATATGCAATACAAAGCAGTAGAAAACATTTAAATAAAAACTATTTCGTATAGTATATGTGATCAATTAAGCCAAAATAAGTGGAAAAGTTAAAAATCAAAGGTTTATTTACCGTATACAAAGAGTGAATACACCGTTGGTCCCAAAATTGTACAACCATAACGACCAATTAATTCAAATTCTTAATTTGATCCAAACAATTATTGTTATTGCGTTTGATAACAACAACCCTAACGCATGTATCTAATACAGTGCGAGTAACCTATATATTTTGTACAGTGGTCATACGAAATAACAAACAATTATCAAAACAACAACAACATAAATGTTTAATGAAATAAAATCATTTTACACTAAATTTACCTTGATAAAAAATCTCGAGTGGAATCGATAGTAAGTTCATAGTACAATACAAATTACGAATAACCATACATATAATTAATAAAAAATTAAAGGTTGTTATTTAATAATGTATACAATTTTACGTAGTTACCTTAATATATGATGAAAAGTTTCCAGGTGTACCACATTGTTTGTAACGTTGGTCAAATCCCCGAGATTCCTACTTGATAAAAATCGTACATAGGGGTTATTTAATTGAACATGTTGCACACCAAATTTGGATAAACAAACTCTATAAGATCCAAAAAATGAATCGAAAGAATCATGAATCGGCATGTCATTGAGAATTTCAATTCCAGTACTGTTTTATTAATATCAATCTTAATCATAATCCTCAATTTATTTTATGCTACACCCAATAAAATACACCAGGTAGATCTTTACCATTCATATGCGCACAAATATAAAAACACATACATTGGTGTGTGGATCCAAGGTAAAAGAATCACCCAGTGTAGTCTTCATCGGTTGTAGCAGAGAAATAACCCATAATCCTCGTACTAATACTAATACTAATACTAATACTAATATTAATACTAATACTAATACTAATACTAATACTAATACTAATAATATTATTACATATATCATATGATAATGCTAACTTTAATATACTAATGTCAATACTAATACTAATATTAATATACCAATAACAAAAACAATACTACTACCAATATCAATACCAATACCAGTACCAATACCAAAACCAAAACCAAAACCAACACCAGCACCAGCACCAACACCAACACCAACACCAACACCATTACCATTACCATTACCATTACCATTATCATTACCAATCACATTACCATTACCGTTACCATATCCCTTACCATTCCCGTTAAAATTGCCATTATTATTGCCATTACTATTACCATTATCAATACCATTACCATTGCCATTACATGTACCATTATCAATACCAATAAAAATACTAATACTAATATCAATACCAATACTAATATCAATACCAATACCAATATCAACACAAATACCAATACCAATATTAATACCAATATCAATACCAATACTAATACCGATGTCAATACCAATATCAATATTAATACCAATACCAATAGAAATATCAATAAACATAACAATAACAATAACAATACCATTACCCATACCATTACAATTATTATTACCATTACCATTACTAATAATCTTAATCCTACTCC